TGGTCAAACTAAAGACAACTTCGGTTATTAGAAGTCATATTAGACAACCAAGGCAACACCGATTAGGTCACTCGGTGAGATATTGCTTGCGTACGATGAAGTGGGTGGTGATTGTGATTCTCAGTCAACCAAATGTGCATACATTTCTCTGGGTGCCTCTTCAGTCAGCGGCAGTCAAATAGTTTGCAGACGATTTGCACTAGTTACTTGTGGGGTCTTGCGATTGTTGTGAGAAATTCGAAATTCAAACTTGTGGATGCGCCCGTTCGTCAGCTTCATCGAGTAACTGTGTAATCAATTACCACCAATTCAGTACGACTTTGAACTAGTTGCCTACTGCTTTGACCGCGAGTGTTCCATTTCACCCACGCCTATATGTAATCAGTCACTCATCCTGAAGACAGCATCCTTTGCTAACTATATTCAACAGAAACTAAGCCGATATAACAGCATTCAATATATATATATATATATATATATATATATATATATATATATATATATATATATATATATATACCAATAGCAATGGTTTTCCTCGAAGGAAAGGTGCCTCCGATTCGGCTGATCGAACAGCACTATTTCGTGCTCTTCACCAAATGGTATGCCACAAAAGTTCGTTAATCTATTGAGACCTCCTAAGGGCTTACACCCAACTATCCAGTCCGTTCGAAACGACCAGTGGTGTTCGACAAGGATGTCCCATTTCGTCATTCCTATTCAACTTCTTCATGGACGAGATGGGGAATGTCTTGCGAAGTCTTCAGGGTGTGGGCGTCGAACTAAAAAATAGTGAAGAGCTGTATGGCTTACATTATGCCGACGGCCTTGTCTGCTTGTTCGAATGCACGGAGCACGCGCAACGTGCACTAGGTAGACTCGCACAAGCTGTAGCTCCATTCAGAATGCGCTTTGCATCTTCAGTGTTAAGTTATATTGCAAGAATGGATGTCAACGATTCCGAGCCTGACGCCCGATCGGGAGGTGCTAACAATTGTCGACCGCTTCACTTACCTCGGAAGCAGTGTGACGACGGATGGGAGTTCGGTGGTAGAGGTGAGCACGCGTATATCGGAGGCTTGAGCGGCGTACACTGGACTGAAGCACGAGGCACAAACCTGATATTTCACTAAAGTTGTGTACTGGGCCGCGGTGCCTTCATTTTTGTTATATGGTTGCGAAACATGGAGTCTGCGTGCTGAAGATGTTCGTCATCTTGGTTTTCGACCATTGATTTTTGTGTACTACCGCTAAGATTGTATTGAGTGACCGAGTGAGCAACTCTGAGGTTAGAAGTCGGATATTGGTTACTAGTTCAGATTATGTTCTATCACAGCATATCCAGCTTTGTAGGCTTTGTCCGTTGAAGCAAGTGTTACGTATGGCAAACACATGCCTACCATACCGTGTCCTATTCTCCGTTCCTCCTCGGGAATGGAAAAAGCCACGTGGAGGTCAACAGATGACGTGGGAATGGGGAGTGAGAAAGTGTACAGCGAACTTAGGAAAGATAGGTGCCCTGCGTGTTCGTGGTTGGGGTACAAAGATCAGTCAACCAGTTGGCTCGAGACGCAAAAGGATATGGCAACGAACCGTGAACAGTGATGATCGTGTTATCATTTTCTGTCGGATCAGAATGATTGATCAATGTGCGTCTGTACAGTTAGACTGTATTCCGTGTGTTGGCTACTAGGGCGTTTTTTCTTTTTCTCATCCCTGTCCATCTCGTATGTTCATTCTTTCTATTGCTACGTGCAACATGGTAAGAAAGGCGGTGGATAGTGGGGTTTATCCTGGTGTTTAACGCTGTAAGATGATATATATATATATATATATATATATATATATATATATATATATTAAAAGGGGGAATGAAAATTCCCAGGAAGCATACGACCGGTTCCGCCTTTGTTGCTACCCATCCGGTATCTGTGACTCCTCTGCCCACTTATCTTCACACTTGTAAAATTTGATGTTATATTTTCACTAGGATCTAACTTGAATCGTCTGGAGTGTGAATGGCTACTCTTCAATGAAGAGTCTACAAATGAATCAAAACTATGGTTTTTGTTAGTTATTAATGTCTAGGTCATTGCTAACCAACGAGGCTGCATGCGCATGCGCTCATATTCATAGTAAGACGTAAATAGGCGGTCAGGCTGCTCAAATTCTCCGAATAAGCCATTATGGAGGACTAGTTGCAGTGAACAAGGTTTAAATGAGTTTTGGTGTAATGGTCATTATCCATTGGAAAACAATGATGATGTGCTTCCCCGTTCTTCACTTGCCATGTATAAACCACGTACAATTCACTAGGTCTGAAACACGCGCTCTTTGGAAATCATCATCCCATCCCATCAATCTGGCTTCCGGTTGCAAAGCAAGCGGCGTCCAAGTTACGCCTTACATTAATACCTAAGACAAAATCTTACATCAGACAAAGCATTTGGGTGTCAGTCGGTCATTCTTTGGATTATGAACCTTCTTACCGCATAAATGAATCACCACGCGTGAGTAGCTCTGCACTGAATTTTGTATCAACCGTCGTGCATCAGTTCATTGGAAAAAGCCATTGATGTCGACTAGTTTATTTCCTATATCTACTGTTTCTGTTTGGGGTGTATGGGGTGCTTGAGAGGAGTAGTACTTCTGAGCTGATAGATTCGTGTTCCTCGGGGTATCTTCCACCTCTTTGGTTTCCATCACCTGCCCAACTTTTACCAGCGACTCCACGAAGCTGAGGTGTGTATCGGCGGCCACACCCCGGCGAACTGTTTGACCGGCGGGCCAAACCAGGACTTAAAAACCTCGGTGAGACGGTGCCCAGCATGCAAAGACGGATACTTCTGCATAGGCAGATGAGACCTGCCGGAAATCCGTCCAATCAACAGGGTTGCATAAACCCCTGGGTCTAGGTGACCTCTACTGAATGGCGAACGAGCTCCTAGAGAGCCACCGGCAACCATGCACCAAGATCACTAGGACGAGTTGGGCATCCCGAATTGGTGGACCACCACTCCAAAGGCGTACGAACCACTCGTTCGGTCACCGGCTCCCAATACAAAACTTTCTGTTGCCCGACAGGTGGTACTTGGCTATGCACGGGCAGGAGTTGCTACCTCGAACAAAAAGCCGAGTAACGCTGGAGACGCCACTTCGTAACAAATTCCCAAAACTCTTCATGACAAGTTCTCTTACCTTCGGGACATGTATGGGGCCAGCTCATCCTCTCGCAGGAGCTAGCCGCATAAAAGTAAACTAAGTTAAAGTTTGTATTTTTGACGAGACTTCCGACGGAGATGGGTTACAAATGCACAGAAAGCAAACTACACGCACTTGACGGACCATATTTGGCAAGCGCTTCACACATTTAAGATTGGATGTCAAGTACTCCCCTATTAATACCGTAGGGCAAGGACTTGGTCCTTGAATATCACTCCATATACCTACGTACTTGCACAGGGGTTAGCAATGACAGCCTGAATAAAGCGGACCCACGCAAGACTCACTGGACGTACGCTGTTTCGAAGCATTTGTGGTATTACCTGACATTTTTTTCATTGAAACTAGATTTCATGTACTGTGATGCAATTCAATCAGTTCTACTGTGCAGTTCAGATAGGGAATGTGGGGAGTTTTCAACCACCACTGTGGAATAGAACGTCAGGGTTAGAGACATCTAGTCTTTGTTTCAACCTCGGATGATTTTTTGTTCGATCAAGTTTAACTAGCTAGACCCTACCGGCTGGAGAGCATTAGCACAGTGCGATTCCTGCATCAGACAGAGGAAAAGTAAGCATTGGAAGAAAAGGGTTGAAAGAGCACTGAGAAATTCGATAGAGTAGGCCATTTTCGTCTTCCTGGTGGGAGTTTCACAGATCTTATCGTCAGCTAGTTGGATAAACCAAGGAATATGGCAGTGAGCGTGGAAAGGAATAATCTTGTTATGAATTTTGAGGATGTATTCACACTTCCCCGTCAGACCTTGTGGCGGCCAAAAAGGTACTCATTTGTGAAACCATAAATGCACCATTCAGAAAGTAATCCTTTGTTTATAACAAGGGTGAGCAACTAAGAATCCAACGAAGCCTCACTATTTCTCTAGGAACAACGACGATGTTGATAAACTCACTCTGGAGTTTATTGAACTAGTGTGTGGACATTCAACTTTTGTGAACTCCGTTTCTTCGTTGTGTCTTCATTTGTATCGAGTGGTGCGCTATTACCAAATAACGACATCAATCACGAGTTGGCGTGTGAAACTGAAGATTTTAGGGCCCAGTTCTATCATATCCTCTTGGCCTAGGCACCAAAAACAGATGATCATTTTTTAAACGAATATTAGATGAATCTACCGACGTGGCTTGTTAGATCGAATTTCTTCGGAAAATCTGCAAGTACACACTGTAAAAGTAGTAGGTGATGCTTTGCCAACAAGCAGTCTATCCTTTCCACCAGACCAACATCATCAGAGTGAGTCACGGGATGCGCGAGCAGAGCCTATCCAGTACCAAGCCAAAAGCTAGAGAAAACGGAACCGCAGGCGACAGGATAACCGACCGATAACGTGAGTCGACAGAATGAGAGATGAATCCTGTCAAACGGAGTTTAGCATCAACACCAACCCAGCAGAATGCCTGGTTGCCCGTACCAGTCGGATCAATACTTCATGCAACGACTGGGCACAAGAATCAACGTTCTGTATAACCACTGTTTTACGGTAATAAAACGAGACTACTTGCGAACAAGGAAGGCGTTCTCCCTCATCTTAGTGGGACAAATTAGAATACACAATAGCACATACCAGGCGTCACGATCCACCACAGACCCCAAGATACAAATAACGATAACTTATTGATCCACTGCTGGTGCAACTGTATCGGAATAGGAATTCGAATGCGATACCTGCGAATTACCGGTACCGAAAGAAACAAAATGTGTGCTGGATTGGAGTTTGTCAGGAAAGAAGAGTAGAATATACAACTGGGGATTCGCAACGTTCATGTCTGTCCGCCCTCCAACTCAGGATCAGTAAAACCAAGCATTTCTGCCTCTAGGATAGTCTCCGCAGGAACTCGTTGCCCGGTTGCGGCGGCACAGTTTTTCAGCTTACAGCCTTCTTCAACCGTGACATTTTCGCCGAGTATACAACCTTGAAGGGAACACCTGAGAGTGAGAGTGAAGACGAAATGGGTAAACAACAGACATGTCTAGAAATTCAGTCACAAAAGTGGAGGCAAAGGGTAAATGAATGTAGTGAAAAACAAAAAAGATCAAGGAACATAACTAGCCACAGCCGTGGCTAAGATTGTCAGATTCAATTTTATTTACGCTCTGCGCTATGCTACTTACGAGTAACTCGCGTGCAAAAGCGAATTTATGCGCGAAGATAGGTTGCTGAACAAGTAGATCAACTGTGGCTGGAAACTCGTTTTTCAACATGATCAAAACAAATGAGAAGATGTCATGAGAGTTTCCAAAGAGCTGTTTCATTGTCTAGTGATATCAGTGAGGAGATTAACTGCAGAATATCATCTTATATTCGACACCAACACAGTTAGTGATGCCCACAACCCTATGAGCGAAATAGACGCTAAGTACAGTAAGCGAACACTGGGATTTTTAGAGAACAGTAACATTGTTTTTCAGATCTTTCTCTTATTCCACCCGAAATTTTCTTCAGCAAAGCGTGTGCATGGTGTATGAAACGTGGCCTAATTTAGATGAGCCGGAAATTACGGACGAAACAGCACCATAAATCACGATGATAAGGAGCCAGATGAAAAGTAGTAAGTGGATGGAACATAAACAACTATATAGCCTGTCATGGTGCCCGGTTTACTCACCTGATAATCTTAGTGGGCCTAATCGACCGCATTACAGAAGATAAAGGGTTCAAGACCATCCGTCTACATCGTGAATTGGTCTCTTTAGACGAAGAGAAAAAACGGTGCACCGTAGTGCAATACATGCCGAAGACAGCGGCATTTGTTATGATGTAACGATGCTAGATCCGAAGAATCAAGAACCACTTACGCTTAATCACAACTGACGGCTGATGTTTTCTTCATCAGAATTCAATAATGTTTTGGACATTATTGATCACACATTGAAGACTTCCCTATGAAGTTCATTGAAGGTGCATCTACTTCCTCACGTGGATGTTTGATTTCATATTTTAGATACTCATAATGACAGCAGTAGATAGCTTGTGACTTCAACAGAAGTAAGGCAAGGTTTAGAAAACACGTCACTTTGGAAAGACTATGATCGGCACTCGGATTTGACAATATCGATTCAAAAGTACTACACCTAACCGCACAGCTACTGATGTAATCCAGCTAACCTGCTAGTTGTTTGTTCAACAGTGTGAACTCGTACATTATGAAAAAATCCGGTCACCCCGATCAAATTTTAAGCTCCTCTCACACAGAATCCGAGTCAAATCGATATATATGAGGAATTGGACTGATGGCATGCCATCCAGCAAAACAGTATTTATCATCATCATCATCATCATATATATATATATATATATATATATATATATATATATATATATATATATATATATATATAGACTTGGAATGAAGGTGCCAAGGCAAGAACAAAGAAGACTAACATGGGGGAGGAAAGTACAACTGACAATAAGTAATTGGTAAAAGATATGTTGGGACGTTTTCTTTTTCACTGCACACATTTTGATGGTCTGTCATTTTTTGATTATGGGGCATGAAATTTCGACAGACAGGCCGTACAGCATTTGGGCCAGACCAAACCGCCGCAACGCTTCTCCCAACCTTGTCCAGCATGTAGGGATAGAGGAAGGAAAGGTAAACGATTGGTAGGCATTCGCAAAACATGACGGAGCCACCGGAGATGGTGTAGAACAAGCACTTCATTAACAGAGTGATTATCGGTGCCCAACACACGACGGCACACCTCGTTAGTACTCACTCGATGTTCCAAACAGACGCGAGCAGCGCTTTGGAGACATCGGTTGTCGAACACAGAAAGACGCCGAGCATCCTCAACGCGCAGCCATAGCCTAAAACACTACGAACTGCGGTGACGTATACCCGTCCCTTAAGAGAGAGCCAGATATCACGGCGAGGCCACAGGTGTCGCAGGTTTAGGAAGGCTGCTCTAACTCCCGCTATTCGTAAACAGATGTTCCTCCTAACACAACCTCCAGTAGTTGTCAAACTCCTCGGGGTACTTAAAGTTATCGACCGCTTCAAGCTGATTATTAGATAGGGTGAGTGCATGCACAGGCTTCTGCCAATCTTGCAAAAGCGCTTTACACTTGGAGGGCGCAAAGAGTATACCGTATCCGGATACCTCAATCGCTAAGTGGTCCAAAGCGCGTTGTATTGCCCGTATATTATCACTCATCAAGGCAATATCATTGGCATATTCCAAGTCGAACACTGTTCCCTGTGAAGAGTTCGACTCCATCGTTTGGATAATCATACAAGGCATTCCGTGGAACATCTTCTATGGTAAAGTTGAAGAGAAGTAGGAATACACGTCAACCTTATCGTACTCCACTGGAGACGACGAAAAAGAGCCATAGACTCTAATCCGACCTGAGGTGTGACGATAAAATTCTTTTAGGAGTGATACATACATCTCAGGTACTCTATTTCTCAACGAACAATTCCTTAGTGCAGTCCTATCGACAGAGTCGGTCGCATAGATGTCCAGGAACCAGATGACCGTTGATCTTCGGGAAAAGTGACGGTGCTCTAGCAGCTATCGGAGGGCGAAGATTTGATCGATGCATCCACGACCAGCACGGAGAAAAACCTGCCGCTCACCTGTTTGGTATAACCTGCGAATTATGACAGACGCAAACAGCTTCGACGCAATTAAGATAAGGCTTACACCCCGTTTGGTTAGCGCAGCCACTACGCGAGTTCTTCTTAAAGATGGAGACAGCAGTCCGTTTTCCTCACAAGGAGTGAACCGGCTCAGAATCCCGAACTTTCAAGAACAAAACACGAAGTTCTCTAACAAGCGACTTTTCAGTCCTTAAAAAGGGCTGAGGGAAGACCATCGGAGCCCGGCACTTTGTGATACGTAGTCATAGCTTGTAGACATTTATTAAGGGTTTAGTCTACGTTATAGCAGTCAGGGCAGTCTTTCTGTACGGCTTACAAGGGCAGATATTGAAGTTGAGAGATACACAAGGCTATCGACGTCTGGGTATTGAATGTTCTGCAGTGTTGCTCGAATATTGCGGGCACACCGTATCAGCAATGCTGATTTTGGAAGTAGGGTGTAGGGAACCAATGGTCACTACTCACGGGAACGAGCACCGAATTGAAACAGGTTAAGGTGGCTGGGACATGTTACGCATGCTCGCAATAGACTTCCTGGGCGAATGCTATTCTCTGAGGCACGTACTGGTTGGAAATAGATCGAGGATATCAGTTCATGACGTGAAAGAAAGGTATACGAAGCCTAACGGATGGGCTTGGCGAAGCAGTAATTAGGAACGAGGACATTTGGCAAGTTACGTTGGCTGAATATGCGTCGTAGAACAGTGACGGCGATGAATGCGGTTGCTTTCAAAGGTGATTCGGAAGAAACCATAGCTAAGGCGGAAGTACGGGACTCCACTGAACAGACCAATGAAGCTTTTGAGGTGGCATATAGGATACCTTTCAGTGAATGCATATGCATGAGTACAGTGGAAGAGATTGACCTCATGGGACCAAGGAGCCATCGGTACTCAGGGATTGCCGACCGAATCTACCACGGGTGGTAACGGGGATCTAATCTCGTACATCTGAGACGACAGACGCTTATACCATAAGACTGCAACCAGTGATTGACATGAAAGCAACTTGCTAGCTTGGTAACATAAATAACACGGACGAGATAAATGAGCTATATCATCGTCAATGACAAAAAATTAGACAATACTTTAGTCCATTGATTTCGGGGAATGCCACTTTGAAAGGACGAAAAACGTCTAGAAGGCAAGATGTAACCAACCACAACTCGGTGTGCATATGTAGGGTAAATATTACCTGTGTAAGGAAATGGCAAGCCAGAAAAACGTAACTTAGGCAAAATAAATGCCAAACTGACCGGTGAACAAAACCGGATGGTTTGCTTGTAAGTGTCCTCATTATTTTCAGTCGCTACTGATACAATAATTACCGCTGGTCACGGTTGTCACCTCTACACTCAATCCATCACAAAAGGAAGGGTCAAGAAAACTTAGAGAACCTTACGATAGGTTTGATTGGAAGATCAGAATGAGAAATGATGTAATTTTAACTCACTTCTGCCTAACCGTTACTCCAGGGAGTAGCAGCGAGTTGATAATCTCTACACCCGGTTCAATTTTGCATCCAGAACAGACAAAACTCGATCGGATTACCACGGTCGGATCCGGTTCAAAACTGTCTGCAATGTAGTTGCCTTTTTTCTGAATGGTCGACTTTTGAAATGCCTGAAAAACCATCAGGAACAGTTGATGATATTAAATTATTCCGACATTGGGTACTGATGAATGATTCACGCGCAAGGAAGGTAAAAATCTGAAATAGAAATTAGATTGGTAGTTAATGAAAAATGAGAGAGAGGGACTGAGGGAACATAGTCAACATCACTTTTCGTGATAGATAGCATACCACGGTCACTTAGAACATAATCATGCCTAGTACAATGTGCAGCATTATGTGGGTGGGTTACCTTGTCTGACTATAAACGGTTTGCTTAAAAACAACATCATATGACAGTGCCTTTGCCGGTGGCAGTCGAGTGGTTTGGGGTTTTTGCTATCACCGGTCAGTCATTTTAGACAACCACTAACCATGCACTAGTTGAGGTTGCGCCAACCTCAGAAGGAAATAATGCAAAAGAATCAGAGTATCAAAGGAGTGACAGAATTAAAAATATTGGTATCAAGTCGATAATGAAAGTTTGTGGGTACGAGAGTGCCGCTGATCGTGACGCTCAGCCATATTCTCCAACGTATTTAACCAGCAGGTAGGAGTTCCGAGTCTCACCGAACCCGCTATCACCGGCTGACGCCCTGCTTCATCCTCGATGTCCATTCAAACTAGCCGCGTTCAACGTGCGAAGCTTGATGCATATAGGACAACGGACGGGTTTAGCTCGTATGCTTGAATCCCTTGGCATTGGTGTGTGTTGCATTCAAGACATCAGTTCAATCATTCGATTGATGCCACCATCTAATCCTTCCGCGAAGTTCTACTTGCGCCTTTCTGGGGACGCTGAGGCTGCGGCTTCCGGTTTTGATGGCGTTGGAACTGCTCTTAGCGAAGGAGCTGACGTGGCGCTGCCAGACTGGATCCCAGTCGACAGTCGTTTATGTGCAGTGTGACTCAGGGGTTCGTGCAAAGTGAGCAGTCGCCGTTCCGATAGACGCAATTTGTTTGTCGTTTCGGCGTATGTACCCATGGATTGCAGCCAAGATGCAATCAAAGATAACTTTTCTCAAAAGCTCCACGACTCCTTACGTAAAGCGAACCAAGCTCATATCGTAATTCTGACGGGAGTTCTGAATGCTAGAGTTGGTCGGCCGTCATCAAAAGAGGTGCATTTAAGAGGTTGGTCTGTTCGTAATAGTGTAGTGGGCCTTCAAGGCAAAGGGATATATTCCTTTCACTACACTCATGGGATGAAAAAGTAGGAGATTCGACTTGCATGCGAAATGAACCACAATGGAAATATCAACGACCAACTCACCATTGAAAACCATGTTGACGGTAAACATATCGCTGAGAGCCAGACTGACTAACGTGGTGGTAAGCTGCCTGATTCACAATCATCTAACCCGAGTTGAGACCCCAGTGAGGGCTCGATGGATGTGCAATGCTGGTGATTCCTAACAAGGGTGATGCTATCACTGGAAAAAGAAGCCAAGTGGTGCTAACCGAGGTCGCTGTCGATGCCAGCATCACCATTTTCGATCACTGAGTCAGAGTCTGTGTAGGAAGTTATTTTTACTCAACACATCATTGACCAATCAGTTAACCTCCCAAACGCGAACAACACTTTGGAGATATGGAATATCGACTACTGAAAACTATCGACCATCCTTAGCGGGTAGCAATTGGTTCGGCCTATACCAGACTGACCACATAAATAGAATTAGCACAAGAGCCATCTTGTTCCTGAGGAGGATACTTACCATACGAACTGCTTCGGCAAAAAGAAATGGATCGTCCAATTTTATGCACACCTTTTCATCCCGATGCTCATAGATGAACGCACCAAAAGATTGTTCTGTTGTCATGTAGAAGTTATCCATCTCACCGGATGCGTTTTCGAATGGATCCCCGATACCTGAGCCTGAGAAAATATTTTTTAAAGCTTACTCAAGATGACGATTAATCAAGATGCGGGAGTTTTGGTTGATGATGCCCAGTTAGGCCCGAACAGAAGAATGAATGGGAAACTAAGAAGAAAAGTGGTACACACATGCATACACGGCATGTCCAGGAAGTTTGGTTTCAAGATTCAGAAAACATAAATGTTCTAGTTCAGGGAATATTGTCACAGTCTGAACCAGGAAGGTGTTAAATTGCAAACAAATATTGTTTCGATGCTTATCATCAGACCAATACAGTACATGCGTCAAAATTTATCTTTTTTCCCGATTAGGGTTCATATTGTTAACACAGAGATAAAATTGAACTTCAACCCTGTTTCGGTGTGGACAGATAACTAAAAAGTTTGCTGGTTCTAACACTAGAAACACCCTTGCCCAAAGTTAACGAAACGATGAAACGAGTAAACAGGACTGGTGAAATTAATGGCTTACGTGCCCACTTTTTTAACATCGAATTGGTGTTTGCATTCGTAGTGTGCTAGCCTCATGAGAAATTCTCAAAAGACAGTTGGTCAAAAACTGACCAATTTCAAAATTACCGAATAAGTGTGCAGTCTTATCGTTATGATCTCGCTACCGCAGTCAACGTTTCTATAGCAGATCTGACTACAAATGCCTATTCAAGAGAAAGCGAACACAAAATCCACTATCGAGAAATGAATGATAATTATTTTAGTATCAAAGAAGATCCGTAACAACGACAATACACACACGACTTAAGTAAACGGAAACCTATCGGGTCATTTTTCTACATGGAAAAACAACACGGTGGCTCATATTTTTATTTGTATCTGCATGAGTGCAGTGGAAGGGGTATTTACCCAAAGGTCCACTGCACTATTAGGGACAGCTGGCAACCAGACCCTGAGAGGTGAAGTTGAGAATCACGTAAAATCCCAGTAAGCCAGATGTGGTAATGAGCCGTATGACGGTGGACTACTGCCTACCACCAAATACGACATAGCTCCGTGGACAGAAAGGAGGGTTCTCTATTAATGTGCATTGTAAAACGTACCTGTGACGATTGGATTGGTCAAACGGGAATTATTGGATGGAAAATTACTGATGAACTGTGCCATCGTTTTCTTTCGAGAACCTGTATCATCTCTGAATTATGATAATTGTAAAATGACACAACGGTTAGCCTACCGTGATCGAGTTAGTATATCCATACAGGATCGGGTAAACAGATAAAATCCGACCTCACGTAGATCAGATCGGATAAGTACATCTGAGCCGGCCTGGATCAACGAACGTGGGACTGTGCTATGTTTCTTGATTTCTGCCGCGGAAAAATAGCCCAATAATGCATCGCTATGGTTTTGTAACAGGACAAGTTCCCGTGGAATAGATTTTAGCACTTTGCTTTCAGTGGTCGACAAGCTAGAAAACACGGCCACGAGTTCGGCACGGTTACGGATCAGGGTAAGAAACAGACGGCGCAAATTCAAATCTGTCACCGCGACGGTAGTTTCTGTTAAGAAAATGTACTCGGAGTGAATCCGCGACCGGAGCCTTTGAAAACAATCTAGCACTGGGCATGAGGCAGGTACAGCACATAGGGAAATTTCCATATGTTTTGGCCATTCAGGACGGTGATCATTGATAAACTGTTCGAGCACAGAAGTGTGTGCATCTTGGTGTACGATAATAATTTCACACACATCGCTTTCCAAAAACCGATCAATGAGATTAGATAACAATGTTCCATTATGAAACGGGAGAAGACCACAACAACTGGATATGGTTAGTTGAGACAATTCTGATGGCTCTGAATGAGCCAGAATGACCGCTTGCATCGGGAAAGCTGAAGTGAGGAGGAATTTAACGAGAAATTATAAAGCAAGATCTTGTGTTGAATTTGTGTGGGTTTCCCATTATGGTAGCTGTAAACACGACAGACAGTACCACAATGGTCACAGCTAAAAAACTCAAACACAATGGAGTTTATATATATATATATATATATATATATATATATATATATATATATATATAAAATGTATAGTAGGTAGTATGTAGACGTGCGGACAAAACTTCTCCGGAAGCAAACAACCGGTTTCGTGGTTGACGCCGCTCATCAGGCATGCATACCTGCTACTCCTCTGTCTACTCATCTACATATGTGTACACTCCGATCTTATATCTTCACTAGGATCTGATCTGAATCGTCTGGAGTGTGAATGGATACTTTTTACTGAACAGTCCACAAATGAATCACAACTGTGATTCCCGTTAGTCACTCGTGTCTGGGTCACTGCTAACCCAATGAACAATGAGGCTGCATGTGCAGGCGCTTATATTGATAAAAAGTAGTCTGCAAGCGTGAGGACAAAATTTCCCCGGACTCAACAATGAAGAATATCCAATCACACTCCAGACGATTCAAATTAGATCCCAGTCAGCAGACTTCTGTGTGCAGTTCGGTTGAATGGTTCTGTGCATGTCAACAGTTCTAGACTGAAAAGCCGATGCCTGTCTGTCGTTTCTGTGTATGTCTCAACTGACTGTCCATCAAGACGAGAGTGCACCTTGGTGTGGTGTGATGGCTTGCGTGCCTCCATGACCCAAAGAGCTATGCAGGACGGTTTCCTTGAGCTGGAGATACGATCATGCCTGACAGGTCAATGGGTAGAGGCCAGACGAAGTCGTCTCAGAATCAGTTGATGGACAACATCTGGTTTTAACCATTATGCCCTTGGAGAGGATACTCTAGCGAACAAACGCGGAGAGAAGCAGTTTAGTGGTATAAAAACCCCCACCAGATGGACGTAAGAATGGAGTACCTGGAGTTCCTCTCGATGATGGGAGAAGTCATCGCACTTCATTGGGCAGCAATCGCCCGCCTAAGCTGGGCAGCCCCAGCCCAAAGGATGCTGCCCCATCCACGTTTCGCTTGCTCCATTGGGCGCATGGAACTGAGGACTGAGTCCGAAAAGAGGATCGATAACAAAGCACCAGCGAAGTCAAGACAAAACGCATGCAGTAATTAGGTCCCACGTGACAGACCAGAAGAAGTTTCTTCCCGGGTGCTTCGGTCACGTCCTCGTGCTGGGTTAACGCCCCACTGCCCTGTGGGTCAGACTTTTGAGTCAAAGGCTTCGGTTAGGGTTCCCAAAGCAAAACTCATTCTGCAGTGTGGGCAGCCGCGAAGTATGATCCACTCAGAAACCTTCGGTATCTTTCCTGTAAACGGCCTTACCAAATTTGCTTCTTTTAATTGAAGATCGACGCAGAACGCCACGCGTATTTGCGACTATGATGAAAACAGTGGCTCAAAAGTTAGGTATAAATCAATTGTACTTCTTAAGCCAAAATGTTCACCTCACTTGGCTGCTTTTAATGTCCGCACACTATGGCAGGTAGAGCAACAGACTGCTGTCGCTAAAATAGATGTATGTTGTGTCTCCGAAACATACATACAAGATCCCATTTCTGTGATCACTCTTCGCACCCTAGATACAACCTTAGTCTCTCGCCTTACTCTTCGCGTGTCGGGTAATTCAGTGTCTAGTGCTTGTGGTCAAACCAGCGTTGAGATTGCTTTGAGCAGGAAAACTGAGCGTGCACTGCTAGAATGAATTCCAGTCGGTAGTCGTTCGTATGCAGTTCGGTTGGATGGTTCTGCTCGTGTTAAAAACAACAAACTGGAGCGCTGATGTTTGCTCGTCGTGTCTGGGTATGCGCCGATTGACTGTAGTTCCTCCGAGACCAAGAACGAATTCTATCAGGATTTGACTCAGATGCTTCGAAACGTGCATCATCATCATCATCATCGTACAGCGTCAAGCAGTAGGGCAAGCCCCACTGACCACTGCCTTTCTCACCATGTTGCACGTTGAATTAGAAAGTATGAATATACAAGATGGACAGGGAGTGGGCCTACATGGGTGGGAAAAGGAAAGAATGCCCTAGTAGCCAACACACGGAGTACACAGTCTAACTGTACAAACGCACATCGATCAGTCATTCTGATTCGACAGAAAGTGACAACACGATCGCCACTGTTCACGGTTCGCTGCCATATCCTTCAGTATCTCCAGCCAACTGGTAGACGGATTTTTTGGACACCAACCACGAAGACGTGAAGCACCTACTTTTTCTAAGTTCGATGTACATTTTCTCATTCCTCGATGCCACGTCATCTGTTGACCTCCACGTGGTCTCTTCCACTCCCTAGGAGGAACGGAGAATAGGACACGGTATGGAAGACGTGTGTTTGCCATACGTAACACGTGCCCCAACCAACGAAGTCTATCAATCTGGATATGCTGGGACATAGCGTTCTCCGAAATAATACCCAATACTCGCTTTCTGAAATCATTGCTCACTCGGCTATTCCACCTAATCCTAGCGATACTACGCAAACATCGGTGGTCAAAAACCTCAAGACGAAGAATATCTTCACCACGCAGACTCCAAGTCTCGCGACCTTGGATATGCGCGTCCTCACCTCTACTATTGTGCTCCTATCCATCGTCAAGCTGCTGCCGAGGTAGGTGAAGTGGTCCTCAATTGCCAGCACGTCCCCATCTAGCATCAAGCTCAGAATCGTTGACGTCCAGTCTTGTATTATCACCTTGCACTTTGAAGGTGCAAAGCGCATGCCGAATGGAGCTACAGTTCTTGAGAGTCTATCTAGTGCACGTTGAGCATGTTCCGTAGATTCGAAAAATTAGACAACGTCGTCTGCATAATCTAGGTCACACAGCTTTCCACTATTTACTAGTTCGACGCCTACATCCTGAAGATTTTGCAACGCACTATTCATTATTTCGCCCATGACGAAGTTGAACAGCAATGGAGACAAAGGGCATCCCTGTCGAACACCACTGGTCGTTTCGAACCGACCGGATGGTTCACCGTAAACCCTAACGCGGCCAGAAATATGAGAATACAATGACCTCAGTAGGTTCACGAACTTCTGGGGCATACCTTTTCGCTGAAGAGCATTGAAAAGTGTTGTTCGATCAACTGAATCGAAGGCGCCTTTCAGGTCTAAGAAAAGCATTATGGTCGGTCGGCGGTGCGTGTGACGAGTTTCAAGTAGTCGGCGAAGAGTAAAAATCTGGTCGATGCATCCTCGACCTGGGCGGAATCCAGCCTGCTGCTCGCGCACATTCCTCTCGCGAGCCGGTGTAAGCCGACGCAGCAAAATCGAAGCTAATACCTTGGTGACTATCAGAATTAGGCTAATCCCACGATGATTACTACAGTCATTGCGTATTCCCTTCTTGAAGATGGGAACAATCAATGACTCACTCCATATTAACGGAATATGCTCCTCGTTCCAAATGTCACGGATCAAGGCGGTAAGTGATTTTATCAACGCCTCACCACCCAGTTTGAAAAGAACTGGAGGAAGTTCGTCGGAACCTGCCGCTTTCCACCGCCTTAGTAATCGAATACATGACTCTACTTCTAATTCCGATGGGGACTCAAGTGATACCACCCAAGGAGTCGCAGTTGTTGACACGGGAGTAACTACACTAGCGTGCGGCCAGCTAAACTGTTCCTTGAAGTACTCAGCCCATCGGTCAAGCCTTTGCTGTTTGCTATGGATGGGTTCTCCATTTCTATCCCAAATCGTTTCACTGACCTGAGTTCGCCGTCCACCAGTGTCACGAATAAGTTTGAGCAGTCTTTGACTGTTACCTGAAGCAGCTGCTATTTCAATTTCTTCCGCTACCTTCACCCACCAATTTTCGCGATCATTCTTAAGGCTTTTCGTAACTTCCTTCTGCAGATGTCTTCGTATCTCATTCATCTCCTTACGGTTCGAAAGCTGACGCTTTCGCTCCATTATACTCAGCGACTCTTGCGAGATCCAGTGTCTTTGATGGACAACGGATCTAGGACCACAGGCTAAACCTGCTACAAAGTGCATCGCCTGTTTGATATGGGCCCAATTCTCATCTACATTACTGTTCTCCGTGGATCCTAGCTCATGTGCTAACTTCTGCTCATACCGGGTGCATACTTCTGGATCACACAAACGTTGCACGGCTAACCGGACTTGCGATTTGCGACGATAACCATGGAGCTGGAGAGATAATCGCATCAAAACTAATGCATGGTCCGACTCTACGTACGTGGACTAGTAAGATCTACAGTTCTGAACAGAATTGCACCACCGGTAGCTTACGGCGATATGATCAATTTGACTCAAAGTACCTGTAGAGTTTGAGCGCCATGTTGCAGTGCGACGCGAGCTGTGTCGGAAATTTGTGCTAGACAAGAACAATCGATTGTCTGCACAAAACTGGAGAAGTCTATCCCCGTTATCTGTACGCTCAGCAGGTAAAGCACAACGCCCACCTAAACAGGCTTCTGACATACTAAGTTTGCCAACTTGTGCATTGAAGTCACCAGCTAGCACTACAATGTCAGAACCTTTACTGCTGTGAACGAGAATGGCGAGGGCATCATAGAACTCATCTTTCTGCAAGTCTGAGCTGCAGTCCGTTGGGGCGTACGCCGAGATCACAAACAAATTTCGCCTAACAAAACTATCCTTTCGAACGCCGACTGACCCTTGGAGTCTCACAGCACATAAACGACTGTTAACAGGAATCCGGTCTAAAAGGGCAGTCTCAGCCTTGTCAGTCAAGACAATTCCTACACCACGTTGACCCACAGCTCTAGCTACTTCGTCTCCTGAGGTTCGCAGAAAATACCTCGATGAGATACCAGGAGCAGTTAGTTGAATTACAAAGCTCGAATCCTGGATACGCGTTTCACTTATGCAGCAGACATCAATCTCCAGAGAATTTATTGTGAGCGCTAGGCACGCCTGCTGACCGGCAT